GTGTAAACAAATATTTGTAATGAAATTAAACTTATGTTTTCAGATATTTTATACACTCAGATTTATAATGATAAACAGTGATATCCATAGTGATCTACATCACTGAGCAGGTGGGTACCCACAACCACACCAATTTAGGCCTTTATTTCTTTTCTTCTTTAAAAAAACGACACTATGAATAAAAAATATTATATGACTTTCAACGCTTCCTCAATCCCTTCTTTGATTTACTTATGTATAATTTAATTGCAATAAATGGAATTATTGCCATCGTAGGAAGAAGTGGATGTGAAAGGCAGAGAGTGCTAGGTATAAGCCCACCAGTTCTCTTCAAAACAAATTAAAAACGTGTGTGTTATGGTGTGAGTGTTATCACCAGAGTTATCTATGGCAATAGTGCAAGGGCCAGTCATTGAATACTCAATTAAGGGGAAAAAATCCTGCTGGACAAAAGATACAATCTTAGCATTTCCCCATCTATATTTAATATTCTACTCAACAGTATTTTGTTCAACACAGTGGCACCCTCCAGATGCACACACACACACGCACATACACTCACACTCACACACACACACACACTCACACTCACGCACACGTGCGCACAATCTCGCATAGTCGGGTGAGGGCATGTGCGTTGAGGTTTCTTACCCGAGCCTGCTGCAGGATCGCCTGGGCCTGCGCCTCCTGAGCAGAGACCACTGGTCCTTTGGAGCCATCACCGCCGCCATAGCGAAACTGAGCAAAGGCCACACAGAGAAACTCAGCATCAGCCTTTGCCAAGGAGGAGCCTTCCTCACTAGACCACAGCCGCTCGCTCAACAGAGTGGGAGTTCACACAAGTCCAAGGTCAGGCCATCGTGAATCATGATGCCGAGACTTCTTATTTTCTTAGGAAGTCTCCTTCTGCCCGTTAGGCAAGGTCTCTAGACCATGTTCTACCGCTCATATAAGAGACTAGAGCAGCGGTTCTCAACCTGTGGGTCTCGACCCCTTTGGCGGTCGAACGACCCTTTCACAGGGGTCGCCTAAGACCGTCCTGCATATCAGATATTTACATGATGATTCATAACAGTAGCAACATGACAGTTATGAAGTAGCAACGAAAATAATTGTATGGTTGGGTCACAACATGAGGAACTGTATTTAAAGGGCCAGAAGGTTGAGAACCACTGGACTAGAGGCTTCTTCCCACTGCTCAGTTCCATCCATTCTGAAAACTCTATCATGCGTTTTTCATGTGCACATATGGACCCATGTTATCCATCCATTTGTAAAAATTCCAAATGCACCAAGTCAGAGGTGGTCACAGGGCCATTGCTACTTCATCGAGTAAAACTTTGGAGTCACTGTGAACACAGTGAACTTGAGATATGTTTATTTTGTTTACCTTTTCTTTACTAAAAACCGATCCTACTTACATCCCTCCATAAATCCTAAAGTTTCTTTTAAATTTTAGCTTACAATGCAGCATGAGTCAGTTTCTCACTACGTAATTATTACTTGCAATTTTATTGCCTTTACATAAATAAATCATTTTCCCTAGAGAAGTAGGGCAGCATTAAAAGGAACCTCATGGTAAAGCAAATAACTTTTGAGCAATGAATGACACTCGAGAGATAGCTCTTTTTAAAAGTATCAACTATTGTGTATATGGTGAAAAACAGTATATTAATATTATGTTGACACATGAAATACAGATTAATCATACAACCAGGATAAAGCACGATTGGGAATATTAAGAAAAAACTCTATGCTTTGTTGTCAAAAGTGTAATCAAATTCTGAAACCTTAATTCTAAGGTAGAGATTAATATTTACTGGATGTTATTTTCAGTAAAATTTCTCATAATTTCCACAGGCTGCTTGATTTTCTACCTTATAGGATGATTTTTAGTGGACCGCTCTATAACATGGTCCAACAATATTTTTCAGAAACAAGATGACAAATGTTAAGTCCTCTTCGTAGCTACAAGAAATCACATACCGGTAACATCAGCATGGTGCCAGGAGGACCTGGTAGGCCATCAGCTCCTGGTAAGCCAGGACGCCCTGGGGGACCCTAGAAAGTAAATAAAATCCTCAAAAGTAATAAATGAATGAAATCATCACATTTATTAGAAACTGAATAACTTTCCATAAGTCTACATGATCTCATTGGCACTTGTCTTTTCCTCCTTGGTTAATCTCCTTTAAGTAAGCCTACCCAGGAAGAACTGTATTCATCGTACTAGTTAACATTATTTTCATAATGTGCAAACTTATAGGCTACACAAGGATGGTCCAAAAAAACCCAAAAGCAGCAGGATGGGGTTTCTCATGAAGAGTTTGGGGAGACAGCATAAAAGTTCGGGTTCACCACGTGACCCTGATGTGATGCTCATTATCAGCTCAGCCTCTACCAGCCGACAACTAAACACCCACTGCAGTTCCTGGACATTTTGTCTGAATTCAAATTGAAGAACTGAATCTAAAGTAACGGGTTCATGTCAACATGGAAATTGATCCTAAGTTTTCTCACTAATTATCACATGGATAACATGCACATTCTCTACCCTCACTTTTAAAATTATAGCTAGAAAAGTTAAGACAAATGCTGCACAACATTAAATGTATAAACACCACCCCCACCACAGTGGGACGAATAACATGTTAAGCTTGTGGAATGTATTTTGATTTTTAATCTACGTTATATCCTGTAGTTCTGAGGAGCCCCTTCACTTACCCTATCGCCAGGGTCGCCGGGGGGTCCAGACGGGCCTTGTAGACCTGGAGGGCCCATAAGACCCTACAGAGAGACAAACCAGCGTCTGAGTCAGATCCCTGCTCTCATTAGGATGCAGGCAACTTCATCCGACCAGCATCAAAGAAGAGCTCATTTATCTTTCATGAATATACAACTGTCTCTCAAACAATTGCCCTATTTATCTTCCTATGAACAGACAACATATAGGGACCACTTTGTGGCTATCTGGACTCTCCCTCTATGAAGCTGCTCTCCCAGTGGAGGCAGATGGTCCAGGGAAACACAGGGAAGGAGACTCCCCAAGGTCAAGTCCCTGAGGTAGATGTTGGTCCCGGGTCTTACGGAAGAAATGGTAGACTCCCAGGATTAGACCTCAAACACGTGAGAGCCGTGTGGAAATGTAGCATCATTTACCCTGAAGGCAATATTATATTTTCTTTTATGGGTAAAAGTATTTAAAGGCACCAGTATCACATGCTTATTTCAGATGATGAGATTTGAATTAATCCCACAAAAGACAGAGGTTGTCATAACAAAGTCAGATCAGTACAACTACCGGAGAATAAAGACCCAAGCAGAGATGTCAGCCTCACAGGGAAAGGACAAAAGGAGCTGAGAGTCACTCCATTCAGAAACACGGACAAGGCAGCTACAACCTCTTAGAATCCTGGGCCCCATTCACAGAGCTATGTCTACACCTTTTCCATAAAAATAGCCACAGCTTTTCTTTTACTTGCATAACTTTCAAGTAGAGGTTGAAAATGAGGTTAGATGCGGAGATATTTAAGCAACAAAAATATTTTAAACAAAATATATTTCCACTGCTCTCAAAAGAATCTCAGAGGGAAGCCGGGGGTGTGTGGTGGGTGGGAAAAGATCAACCAAAGAACTATGCATATATGCATAACCCATGGACACCGAGGATAGGGTGGTAGAGGCCTAGGGTGGGAGGAAGGGTTGGGGGTGAGGATGGGCTCTACCACCCTAGAGAAAGGGGGACATCTGTAATACTTTCTACAATAGAGGTGTGTGTGTGTTCAAAAAAGAATATCATTTGGAGAGCCAAATCAGAAAGCAATTCAAGGCCCAGGTCCTCTGAACAAATATTCGCCTCTATAATAAAATACTCAAATTAGTCTGAAATTTATCAATTCAATAATGTAACAGAAATCTTATATCTGATTATTTAAAAAAATCAAGACAAAACATTTCCATACCGCAGGTCCGGCTGGCCCTGGTGGTCCTTCGATCAGCATTCCCTAGAATAAGGAAAAACAGGCTTTTTCCCAAGGAAAGTGTAACCGCTCACCTTTTACCTGCCTGACTCTAAGGAAGCATTTTAAAAAGTGAATTCTCCACTCCTACCACATAAAACCAATCACACACACTTTTGCATGAGAGAGGGCAGAAACTCAAAATGACAGACATGGGTCCCTGTCCTCAGAGAACCTATGGACTCGTTAGAAAACATACAAATTTCCAGATCAGCCACATGACAAGGGGAACATCTAAGTGCTTCCAAGAAGAGTAAAACCAAGGCATGTGACCAGGTTGTCCCCGGCTCCCAGGATAGTTCCAGGCTCAGAGCAGGGACTGCAATACTGGTTGTGTGAATGGAAGGGACACCCAAGCACTTTATTCAGAAAAGGGGAGAAAAGTGCAGACAAAAGCAGCTGGGATAAATATGAGGTCAGCTCTTAAGTGCATAAGAGAACCTAGTACTATTTCAGGATAAGAACCAGGTCCAAAACGTTCATGATTCTACTGCTGAAAATTGTTTTGTCATCTTTAAAAGTTGGTTGTAAATGTTCATAACAAGGGCAAAGTCATTCGGGAAACACATATTTTTAAAAGCCTTCAGTTGAGCATGTGGCATCCTTTCTCAGATTCTGGAGAAATAGAGTGGATAGCCAATAACGTCGTTATAGGTGTAGCGCGTTCATTTTTATTCACCCCCCATCTTTTTTTAATGTTTATGTCATTGTAATTTCTGAAATGATATGCATGACCATGAGGCCAATGGTTAGACCCACTGCTTTAGTTCTAATGCAGTAGTTTCCCCAAGGTGCTCAGCAGGTAGGATAGTAACACTGCTTTCCAGAAAGAATATGTTTCTTATCAATATCTTGAGTGGTAACAAAATTAACATAGTTTTAAAAGTCATGTTTGGAGTGAACTGGAGCCTTTTTATTGAGAGGTAAGGAACTGAGTGTGTTTTCTTAAAATCTTCATTAGATTACCTAATATTATTGGGCTATGAAACTTACTTTTTTCATACTTATTTGTATCTATGTCAAAAAACATGTCTAATAATGTCCACTCAGACGTAAGAGGAGAAATCACTGGCCTGGAAGCCAGAGAGCTCAAGTCTAGTGACAGCTCCACCTCCAAGCGTTCACACCCAAGGGAAGCACTGAAACCCTCGAATCTCAGGTTCTTTGGTTGTAGAACGAGAGAATTAGACGAGACACATTTCAGCCACTTTCAGATTCCAAAACTCCATAACTCTCTATTTTTGGTTGATTGAGATTCCACTTGCCAGAAATGGCTTCACCGACTCAGTTATCTGTGACAAATTATATACACATTTGGACAACAGAATTTCCAATGAACACAGTGAAATAACTACCAACCTTCACAATGTGTCCACACCAGTACTTACAGGTTCAACGACCGCCGGCTCCCCTTTCTGCCCTTTTTCCCCGTATCCGCCATGGCCATTTATCTGTTGAGTGAAAATTCAAGCAGCCTGTCTTTAAATAAATAAGGCCATTAAGTACTTTAAAATATATATATACACACACACATATATATGCATATATATGTGCATATATACATATATGTATATGTATACATATATATGCATATATATTTGTATATATATAGGCATGTGCCCTGGCTGGGAATCAAATTGTGACCTCCTGGTTCATAGGTCGATGCTCAACCACTGAGCTACCCCAGCTGGGCCAGTATTTTTAACAAGGCAATTATCTAACCGTACTTTAAATAACCTATTAAAGTGTGTTTTTTAAATAGCAACCTATTCAAGGTTTACATACTGAAAATATAACATAGGAAAACATAATGAACATTAATACTGAGTCCTGAATGAGAATGAACACTTGCTTCTTAAAGACAGAAAGATAAAGACATCCGCAGACCTTAAAAATTGTTGCAAGGCAGTAATCAAAAAGTGTCATCAAATTAAAGTTAATAAAATGGAGGAAATGAGTGGGGGAAATAGGGGAAGGTGGTCAAAAGTTTAAAATAATAACAATATAATAATAAGTATGGTGCATCACTGAGCATCACCAAAATATAGTGTAAAAATCAGAAATTTCACTTACCACCCAAAATCATTATGACATTTTAATCGCATCAATGAAGAGAAAATCTGGATGCAATTCTATTCAAGATTATACTTTCAACAAAGACTCCAGCCGTGTGGCCAGAGATACAACGGGGCAGGTCCCCAGGGGGGAGAGTCTCTCCAGATGTCCTAGCTGTGATAAGTGTTCAAAATTTATATGAGGAGCTGGATTTTATTTATTTTTAAATGTTTAAATTTATTTTTAGAGAGGAAGGGAGAGTGATAGAGAGATAGAAACATCAATGAGAGAGGAATATCATCGATTGGCTGCCTCCTGCACAGCCCCTACTGGGGATCGAGTCGCAACTGAGGTCCATGCCCTTGACCAGAATCGAACCCGGGACCCTTCAGTCCACAGGCCGACGCTCTCTTCACTGAGCCACACTAGCTAAGGTGATAAGCAGCATTTTAAACCTGGAAAGACATCAAGACGAACATGGAAATACTCCCAAAAGAATACACAACGACACAGAGCGTAATACAGACTTACGCTGGTTTCTGTGATATCTGTTTCTGCCGGGACCCCTGGACCAAACTCTTCATTAGTGGGGCTCGTTTGCTTATCTTCATAGTCTTTATATTCATAAAAATCATATTCGCCTAAATCTCCATCTACCGGAAGGTCAGAGTCCCTGCCGTCTATTTCTTTGTTCTCATACAGTGTATCCTCGGGGTTTTTCCTCTGGGCCTCATAATCCTCTCCGGTTAGATATTCTTCGGTGAACACATCTTCCATGGGACTTGGCTATTCGTTTAAGTTGCAAGGAATCGGAGAACATGAAGGTGAAGGTTAGTGAAGCAAGGTAAGCATTTGCAATCACAGTTCCATGGGATGGGATGGGGGCAGCGGTTCGAATGCTACTCAAGCGGGTCTGAGCACTATTTCTGCCAGGATCGTTGAAAGAAATAGTTCTGTACATCGCTATGTACAAGGATACATGGCTTTCTAACACGTTTCCCAATAGTCCCAAGGCAAATATTCACATGGGCTCCACATGTGTATTTGCTTGTTCCATTGAAAAGAACCTTGTTAGTCAATTTGGTATTTATGGTTTAAGATTTGAATAATAAAATATGCTCTTAGTGAAAGATTGCTGAATTTTCAACTCTCGCAGAACATCCTTAGGCGATATAATTACCACCAGAAAAGCCATGTAACGTTGACTCTCGATCCCCGAAATGAACTCTTCACGCCAATACTGAGACTTATCATTGCGATATGGAGGCGGAGTATCTGGCGTGGAGGGAAGGTTCATATCACCAAAGAGTTCTTTAAAGCCAATATAATATAAAATACAGTCCTCACAATTTAAGACAATCAAGTTAAATATATCATTGTCAGATCTCAAAGAGTAGAGAATAAATATTCACTTAAAAGTAAAAATCACATCAATAATACTCCCTCAGATAAATAGAAACATAAACTTAATGTAATTTTCATTTTCTCACAAGTAATTCCCTAATAAGAGTATAAATCTAAATCATATTTATTATGCAATTTTTGGCCATCTTCTAATTTTGATGAAGTTCAAATTAACTTACTTTGCTACGTTTTGAGTTTCATTTTTAAAGAACTTGTTCACTATGATATAGTGAGTCTAGATGATAAAGAAATCTTGAATAAATAAGATTACACAAAATCATGTTAATAAAATAGGCTGAATTGTAGCAATTGTTAACTAAAGGAAAATGTCCAATAACCATAGAAATGTTGTATTCTTAACCAGGGGGTCTACAGGGGATGCACATTATCCAGCAGATATTACTGTGTTCAGAGCTGAGAACTACAAAACTGGACAAGTTTGGGGAGATAAATAAACATCTTGAATCAAGATACCCATTTTGGGAAACGATTAATTTGGACAAGATGAAACTTATCTGTTCTTAGGCTAAAATGTCATTGTTCTAGATTAAGCATCTGCATGTAATGCACTGAGTTATTTCCCTGCCAAGACACGGGTTATATAAATTTTCTAATAACTCAATTACTCAGGCATTGTTTATAGCAGGGAGGGCGGGTATTTTACAAAGTTAAACGGAACCATTCGCTCATTTTTGCACGATCAGAATGTACACAGGATATGAAATTCAGAAAGATTGCTTGATTTGGACCTACATGTCCTTAAATCTTTTCGTAGAGAAGAACAGGAAAGGTTAAAATGTGTTATTTTAACCATAATCACCACTGCATTCCTAGGCAGTGTGGAACTGTGAGCAGCGAGTAAGAGCCGCAAAGACTGCATCCGTTCAGGATGTGCGCTGTTATGGAAACGCCGGGGAGGCCGAGGGGGGAGAACTCTGACCGTATCCCTGGCGGATACAGACAGCCTCCCTCGCGGCTGCTCCTCGGGGAAGGCTGTGTTGTGAGCACCGCTCATCACAACATGCCGAGAAGCTGGGGGCCCAGGAGCATCAGGCAAGGCGAGAGGCCACTCAGATCCACGTGGCCTTTGCATGAAGCCAGAGCCATGCGGCCTGAACTGACACTGGCTGCACTTGACCCCTGTTTGGGGACAGCGATCCCATGTCTCTGGTCCTCTCACCGCGGCGAGACACTAAAAACCCCAAACTTGCAGAGGCTCCGGGGGGTCCCTCCGGAGTGAGGCATCCCAGAACAAGGCCCACTGTCTCCCCCGGGGCTGGCCTGGCCCTGCCCAGGCGCATTACCTCGTTGGTGCCGGAGACACGCCGGGGAGCTTCGGTCTGGTAGCTTCCCATGGTCCCGTAGTTGTATTCCTGAAAATCTTCCACGATGTTTGCCTGGCGATAAACGCAATGGAAACGCAATTAGTCGAAATGGGAGGCGACCGCACATCTTCTAGGATCAAGATTTGACTGGGCGATGGGATTAGCCAGGGAGGGTTTGTCTAGGCGGGTTAGTCAGCGCCTCGTCATCACAGATCGTCCTGCGGGTCAAGGACAGATCTTGATTGCTCTGGCTTTGCTACCTGGACCCCTAGTCTGGCTGTGGCCGCTGCTCTGTAACTTTTCTTCTTCTTGGATGCAAATCGGTCAGATTTAGGGGGCGTAAACTTTTGGGGCTTTTCCTTTGAGCTAGTGGCCACTGTCCTCGTCTTCTGTTGGAAATGGGATTTCTTCTTCTGGAACGCGAGGGGGGAGGCGGAATGGAAAACATAAATATCAAGTGAGAAGGGAGGAAAGGGCTGGGTGCCAGGAAGACAGAGGCACAGCGAACCGGCATGGTGCCCTCGGGACAGCGGCTGCCAAAGGAAAACAGTTACTGGCTCACAGGACTCAGGGGGCTGGAGGGGGGCCACAGGGAGACGAACAGCGGGGCCCCAGCCACATGTGTTTACCTCGGTTTGTGCTACGGTCTCCTCGGCTACAGTGGGCGTCCCTGTCACACTGTCAGCCTCTTTATAGTCTGCGTCCCCATACTCATAGTCATACTCCACCACCTCCTCGGGCGCATACTACATCGCAGAGGGAGAGACAGCAGGAACGTGGTTAGCGGCAGGTCACACCATTAACGAAGTAGGGATCGTCTTCTTAACGTTTGTGTGGAGGAAACGTTAAGAGCCAGGGAAGGACTTGTCCTTCAGGGTTATTTCGTGTCACACCAAGTATTATACTGTCCCCCACAGAGTATAATAACCCGGGAGTGACGAAGCAGGTGCTCGAGGAGCATGATGGTGGTTAGGATTGTGAAGAAACTAAAAGTTTTGAATATTAATTCAAGCTTTTAATTATTGGATGTTAATTCAGACACAGCCGTTATGTATTTGGACACAGTTGCTAGATATTCGTGTTGATTCTGGTTTGTAAAACTTACTCCACAAGGTTTCTCCATAAGAATTTTACAGTAGTTTCCATGGGCGATTTCTTATTTTCTTTAAACTGCATATATAAAAATGAAAAATAGACTAGGCTTCCCAAGTATGAAAGGGTTTTGGTATTTATTGTGAAATGGAGGGTGGGAGAGAAAGGAATGCAAGGGACATGACATGAGTCTACATTCTATTGGGAATACTAGAACCAATGGAAAGATTAAATTTTAAATTTATTTGGAAATCTCGAAATTGTTACTTATGATCCAAATGAGCATACTAGTAGAATACTTGTGAAGCATTAAAAGATTCAAAATCAGCCAAAACCGGTTTGGCTCAGTGGATAGAGCGTCGGCCTGCGGACTGAGGGGTCCCAGGTTCGATTCCGGTCAAGGGCATGTACCTGGGTTGCGGGCACA